GACGTCGTTAATCTCATCGGAAGATGTAGCTAAACCAGCAGGGAGGTTAAGATTATTTGGTAATGCTAGGTAAAAGGTAATCAAGGACTCGATGATCCATAAATGGGTTCAGGGTATTGTGATACCCTTCACGTCGTATCCGAGACAAGACCGGCCTCCGGTCGAACCCACATGGTCCGAACACGAACATGGTTTAATCGAAAAACAAATTAATAAATTAATCTCTAAAGGCGCTATCGAGAAATGCTCTACGTCAAAAGGACAATTTTTGTCGAATATATTTTTAATTCCTAAGCCGGATAGTACATTCAGAATGATACTAAATCTTAAGGGGCTTAACGAGTTCATTCGCGTTGAGCATTTTAAAATCGAAAACTGGAAGGTAGCAAAGAAATTAAATTGTCGCAATAATTTTATGCCAACGATAGACTTAAAGGACGCCTACTATTTGGTTCCAATCGAAAAGTAGTTCAGAAAATTTTACGGTTCTGGTATAAGGGAGAACTATTTGAGTTCACCTGTTTACCGTTCGGCTTAAATGTAGCACCGTATGTTTTCACAAAATTATTGAAGCCGGTGGTAGCATACCTGAGAAAAAGGGGATTTACGTCTGTATTTTATCTCGATGACATCCTTATTATCGATCAATCGTACGAGAAATGTTTTGACAATGTTCGCGAATCTGTAACACTTTTGCAGGACTTGGGATTTATAATTAATAAGGAAAAAAGTCGCGCGATTCCCACGCAACGGTGTAAATATTTGGGACTAATTTTTGATTCGGTAAAAATGTCCATAGAATTACCTAAGGACAAAGTTCTACGAACCGTCGAACTCACTCGGAAGTTCAGTACAACTACCCGGTGCAGTATAAGAGAATTCGCGGTTTTCGTAGGGACTTTAGTTTCGCGTTGTCCGGCGTTGAAATATGGGATGGTGTATATAAGACAGTTCGAAAAGGTACGAGCTTGCGCACTTGAAATTAATAATAATACTTTTAACGCACAAAGGTTTATTCCAAGAGAGTTAAACAAGGATTTTACGCGGCGGGAAGATAATATCCGCTCCACGAGTGCGCCAATAGATGAACCAGAATTCGAATTCGAAATATTTTCGGATCCTTCACGTACAGGGTGGGGCGTTTTCTGTAAAAACCGACGTTGTCAGGGGTTTTGGAATACAGGTGATTTAAAATTACACATAAATGTCTTGGAACTTAAAGCGGCGTTTTTTGGATTAAAATGCTTCGCGAAAGACGTACGACGAAGTAGTATTTTGTTAAGGATAGACAATACGGCGGCAATCGCATACATAAATAAAATGAAAGATAATCGTCATGAGGATCTTAGTGCACTGGCCAGGGAAATTTGGCAATGGTGCGAACGAAGAGAAATTTGGATTTTGGCAGCGTATATACGTTCTAGTGAAAACGTCGAAGCCGATTACGAGTCACGGAGATTACAACCAAAAACTGAATTTGAGTTATCCAAGAGTGCATTTCAAAAGATCGTTAGATATTTTGGCATCCCACAAATAGATTTGTTTGCAAGTAGAGTGAACGCGAAATGTAAACGTTATGTATCTTGGCAGAGGGATCCAGACTCGATCGGCATAGACGCTTTCACGTTAGGCTGGAAAAAAATGGTTCTTTTATGCGTTCCCTCCCTTTCCAGTAATTTTAAGAATGTTGAGGAAAATAGAACGTGAAGAATCAATGGGCATAGTAGTGGTACCATACTGGGAAGCCCAGCCTTGGTTCCCTGTTTTTTTATCATTATTAGAGGAAGAACCGATTATTTTCCAGCCCAATATTAATTTAATTTGTTCTTCCGGCAGGGAGGAACATCCCTTGTGGCAACGGATTACACTAATTGCCGCCAAATTATCGGGAAAGCGTTCATTAGGAGAAAGGTACCACTGGAATCGGTCAAGATATTGACAACCTCATTATCAGAATCTTCGCTTCGTCAATAAGAATCGGGCCTAAGAAAATGGTGGGAATTTTGCGCGGGGGAAGAAATTGACCCGTTTACAGGTTACACAAGTGAGGTGTTGAAGTTTCTCACAGTGGAATTGGACAAAGGAGCTCGTTAAATGGTTACAGATCGGCAATATTTTTAATATTGAGACCTCATTTAGGTCAAAATGAGTATATTCGACATTTTTTCAAAGGAGTCGCAAAATTAAGGCCAGCAGCACCGAGGTATGACTCGACCTGGGACCCCCAAATTGTGTTAAAATATTTATCGAAGTGGTATCCCAACGACAAGATTAGCTTAGAACGACTAACGCTCAAGCTTGTGACATTGTTGACTTTAGTTACGGAGCACCGTATGCAAATTCTGTCGTTAATTGATACGCGGAATATTTATAGATCAAGTCAGAATACGTTGGAAATTAAAATTCCCGATACCATTAAGACTTCGGGCCCGGGGAAAGAAAAGAAAAGAAAAGAAAACAAAACAAAACAGCCAGTACTAAGACTTCCGTTCTATTTACAAGATAAGTTCGTATGCGTAGCTTCAACGATTTCCTATTTAGACAGAACCAAAGAACTACGTAGATCGGTAGTTAAATTATTTATATCATTTAAGAAACCACACAAAGTGGTGGACACTCAAACTCTAAGCAGGTGGATAAAGAGCCTTTTGGCTAAAAGTGGCATAAATGTTAACACGTTTTTGGCTTATAGCACGCGACACGCTGCTACATCAGTGGCAAAAAGACAAGGTGTGAGCATTGATGTAATACGGAAAACGGTAGGTTGGTCGAAAGATTCCGAAACTTTCGCTCGTTTTTATGATTGGTTGCGTTTCTTCAGAAACTGGACGATTTGCAGAGACGGTGTCAGAATGTTAAGTCCTTTTACGAAAGGCAATTATTTTTAAAAGAATAGCATTGTATCTCGTTTCGAAAGTTCCTGGTTTGTTAAAAAAAAAAAAAAAAAGAATTGGTAAAACACACATAAATATATGTTAGGGTGTCAATTTGTTGCCGTAACTAACTTTAAACAACTACAATTATGATCTCAAGGAAGAGGCGCGAAATACAATTAATGATTAAACGAACTTACCAAGTGAAGTTCAATCATGATTGTATGATGCGCCTCTTCCGAAGAGATCAGTCCCTCCCTCCCATGCATCTCGAGGGAGATACCCGTAACAATGGTTACGGCAAGGCTTTCAAGAATGAAGTTGGTCGCGGACGCGCGAACGGCGTACGAGACTGCGGAGTATAGGGAAACAATTTTTCCCTAAGCTTTATACAATTACTACAATTATGATCTCTTCGGAAGAGGCGCATCATACAATCATGATTGAACTTCACTTGGTAAGTTCGTTTAATCATTAATTGTATTTCGCGCCTCTACCAAAAGCTAACCCAAACCGGAATTAAACATTTTTTACATTATGCGCCGCCTCCGAAAAAGGTGCATTGCATTTAATATGATGTATTTAATAATTTAAGCAAATTCATCAAACGATAGTGAATAACAATGCAGTATAAATAGAAATTATTTCACACGTTTCACTGCATTTTCCCATACTTTTAAGCAATTATATCTAGAGCTAGTGTGTATTCATATAAGTTAACTAGAAATTATTTCATGCTTTTCACTGCACTTTTTTCGAATTCAGTTAAATTTTTTCCCAAAAAATTATTTTTTATTTTAAGCTCTACATTAATTTGCAAGTAAAATAAGGTTTGTATGTGTTATTTACAAATAAAATGAATGTCATATGAATAACGCACAATTTATTATATTACAATACCAGATTCAGTCCCTTAAGTTTTCAAAAGCACACAGGACGCATCGCAAAATGTCTTGTTGCTAGAGGGCTACGGCCTATGGCGAGCCCCGTGACGTCATTGGGCTGCGGAAATTTATGTTATTATACGAACACGATATACATACTTGTGTACATTATTATCTTATAATATTCTTAGTATACTGTAAATGTAGTATAAATGTAGTTCGACATTATGATGCATTAAACTTGAAATATTTACAGTGTTTTGAAGAAAATATAAGTGTAAAGGAAGATAAAAGCTTCTTCGAAACAAATTAAAGTGTCTGAAAATTGATAAGAGATATTATAAGTTAATACAAACGCGAAATAGACAAAATTGTTGATACGAAGCCAAAGGGAAGAATTGCGCAAGTAATTACAAGTTTGTTACAGGAATATTTTCTCACCATCCTAGGGGTATTCCCATGGCGCGTTACCTTTTTTAATTATAATGGGTGGTTCGCCTAAATTACTTTTAATGTAAATCTAGTTTATATAAAAAGTTCTTAATTTACGATGTTTAGAAATGATATCATGTGGTATCATGTTCTAATCGACGGTTAAACTTTGGCTCTGGGACCCATTTTTTTTTTTTTTTTTTTTTTTTTTTGTTAATATTGGTTCCCAGATAGCACAGGGACGTCTTATGTACGTCTATCAGACGTCGGTGCCGGACATTCCCAGAACATTCTCTGTAAGTTCTCTGTACGTCCATGGGACGTCCGATGCTATCTAGGATAATAATATTGTAAATGGTGCATTTTATATTCGGAAAAAAATATTCTGTTCTACATATTAAATAAATATTTATTTTATGTTTAAACAAAAGTATTGTTTTCTAAATCTAGAAAGTTCAGAACGCACATCCCTGGGACGTACAAAATTTACGTCCCATAGACGTTCGTAGAACGTTCAGGGCAAACGTCCCTGGGACGTAAAAAAATTTACATACCAATTGGTAAATATTGTGGTAGGCCACAGTTACATAGATCTGAAAATGCAAAATAATGTATATCTGGCTGAATACTAATATATGTTAATTTATATAAAATATGTTTATAATTTCCAGATTGTAAAAAATTGAGACTCCAAGTTAACATCAATTATTATGGCTTCCATTATGGTATACATATGAGTAAATACGGTCATTACTTCTTCAGTAAGAACAGAAAGGTCTTTTCTTTGTAAATGATCAAAATATTTATCTCCAACAGTTTTACCTTCATCCTCCACAATTAATAATTGACATATATTACAATTTATTTTGTTAGCTAAAGAATGGGATCCATAACCAGATATGTAAATTTTAATGGAATCATCAACAACACAATTGGATAAATATTCAATTTCAAAGATTTTCAGAAAACAAGTCACATCAATGGAAAGATCATGAAGATTATTATTGTTATCACAAATTTCAAATTTATTTTTGATTTTAGTAAACGAAAAGAGTCTTGCCAATTTCGTAAATATATGTTTTAATCTAATATTTTGTTCTGCATGAATTGCTTCATCATATGAAACGTGATAATTACAACCAGATAAAGGTTTGTACTTTCCAAATCGTTTCTCTAATTTTTCAGTTGAAAGTTTTTCTGCTAAAAGATAAGATATATCAAAATTTTGAAAATAGTACTCTCTATGAGTAGCAAAAGAACTTTAGTACTTTGATGTAAATTTTTTATATAAGCGAAATCTATCGATTCTGCAATAATATATGCCTCATTGAGTTTATCTAGAGACTTCTCCAAATGTTCTTCAATAAGAAATATATCACTGCTAACATGTGCATAATGTACTTCTTTGTATCTATTTAATATATGTATTTTGAAGTTGGGACCACCTATTTAATTTCTTATCAATATGTAGTACCTATTTCAAATCATTATGTAATAATTCCTTATCTTTTTCAAAAGCTTGTAATTTCATGTTGTCATTAAATACACTTTGTGTATTAAATTTTAAAAGTTCAAAATTACAAGCTTTTCTTCATAATTGTTAACTAAATGTGAAAAATTGCCGATCAAATCTGAAGTAATAAATTTGTCAACTAAATTTTCATGATTTCCTTATTTTTTTCTTGACGCTTTTCAGGATCTTTTCTCTGAAGTAGCACAGTTTTTGTGAAATAAAACGGGGAATTGGGAATAGTGGATGGTACTGCATTCGTCATACGCTTTGGACATCTCAACAAAACATTTTGAAATATGCCATTGGAAGATAGAATACCCTGGTATCTTATAATATCAGTCTCTGCAAACTGCAAACTACAGACAGCAGAATATTTTGTTGGTGTCTAATTTCTACGAAGAATAGCGTCTATCCATTTTTTCGCAATTCCTTATCTTTAAGGAATAAAAATATAGAGAATAAAAATCTGATCTTGAGGCCAAAAATATCTATGGCTGAAAACACTTGAAAATACGATCTTAAACGCAGAAAAATTTGTGATTACGACTGCAATCGCAATCAATTTGTGATTATCGGTGTAATCGTAATCAAGATCGTAGTCGCAACTCTGAAACATTTGATTGTAATCGTAATCTCAATTATACCTAACTGTATTATTCTGAAACTATTAAATTGCATACGTTTGGAAGTAAACTGAGACTTCAAGTCCTTTTTTTTTACTTACAAATCGTTGTACAGTTATTTTTAACAAAATTGTAACGAAATTGTCTTAAGTATTTGTCGCTTAACATAAATGAAATATCTATCCATTTTATGCCATGTAATTTTATTTTCTTTAAATGTAAGAATTAAGATAGAAGAATAAACAATTTACTGAGATATTTTTCTATTCATTAAACAACGATTACTTTATGGAAATTTGCAATGCCCTCGTTGCAAACTCACCGTCTTTTCCTCGGAATTCACAGCATCGTTTAGAGTACAATATTCCCACCTAAAAGGTATTCAAATAAACGAAACGAATTAATATTATAATTTAATTTTGATTTAATTTATCAAACATCAATTTCTTGGAATTATATGTTTACATGCCTGTTGCCTCTTCTGTCTTCGATAGCGAATTTGTTTATCAACAATGTATCCGAGTAAGAATTTTTACTTATGACTTTATCTGCATCATTTTCAAGAGTCTGATACCACACACGTGCTTTTATCATCGCTTGATTATCAGCCAATGATTGGAATTTTAATGCCGCTATGTTGTAGAAGGTTGTCCGTCTGTTCCCTTGATTCGATAATCTTAAACAAATATTTTGCGTTGTTTCCATGAAAAATATGTATGTAATAATGCACAATCATTCTGGGAATTTCTTTCTAAACGATGTACATCTGATTAAGATTTTAAATGAAGGTATCTTACCCGCATCGGATCTTAAACGTTGTCGTTGAATCGTGTTCTATTATCTTCAAAAACAATATTCCTGACGTTTTTGTAACTTCGTCAGAGATGGTCACCGATGCCCTGAGAGGCTGACCTAATTAGTGATGAAAAATAAATTAAAAATAAATTAAAAACAAAGTTTGAACTTAGCGAAGTTGATCTTGAGTCATCTCTGTTGTCTATACCGCAGAATGGTTCTTCTCCTCTCGTTGGCAAATAGTAAATCCCTAAAGAGCCATAATTAGCCCTGTAGCCCATTTCTTGAAACCAAAATGTAGATTCCATAGGAAAACACATCCCATTAGAATAAGAACCTCTTCCTTGAGGACAGGGCCAGGCAGTGAGTTTACAAGACTGGTTATCCGTACGAACACTCTCCAGGAAAAGTTTCCAGGCTCTCAGGTGGCTGCAAGCGATCTCCTTGGTTAGGCTATCCTCTGGATTATAATTAAATTAATTAATACTTTTTGTTTATCGAGCAATAATTTTTAAACCAGAAGAAAAAGTTGTACCGTTCAAATGGCTGACAACAACAGAGTTCCTCACATCGGTGCAACCAGGTTGCTCTCTGCCACCATTGGGAAAGAAATCGATATGGCCAAGGGGTTTCAAGAGTCCAAAACCGTCAGCGAAGTCCTCAGAGCCATCTGTGTGAATCACATCTACAAGCTGAGCGTCGGTGGCATCCAGTTTCCTAGACTTCTCCCTAAACAAGTGATTCCTGAAGAAGGGAGACGCAGGATCCAGGCCTGTTATGCGGCCTAAAAGAAGGTTTCTCTTTTTCAGAACCTCGGAAGCGCAACCAGCAACGTGAGCACCAAGACTAAAGCCAATCACGTGAATCTTCTCAGGAGAAACGCCCAAGTCTATCATATTCAGAAGGACCAAGCCCAATTGTCGACCTACTAGTTCGGTGTTTGCCACTGCTGCCGAGTACGTTGTCGCTGCGCCTCTTGTCCAGTCGAGTACCAGTACGTTTACATCTTCCTGGAGGAAATTCTACTACATCTGGCATGTTCAAATATGGAAACTGATTATGATATTGAGAAGTAAAATTTCTTCTGAACAAATTACCAAATCCAGCAGAGCTCGTACCAGAAGAAGCGACCCAACATCGCTCCCACTGCCCTTGTAGCCATGTATGGAGACTTTCAGAGGCTTTTTTGCGTTAAATCGCGATTGCAGATTGGACTTGAAGTTTTCATCATACTGGAGAGTCTCAGGGGATTCCCTCTTTTCCCGAGTGTACAAGAAGAATCTGGTTTGGATCTCGCTAGGATGCTGTGGCGGCCGTTTTAGCGTCAAACGGGGTGGTGGATCAGCGAAACAACCAACGAGGTCTGAAATGTATTCTGTGCATCAGATCATAAAAATATATCGTCAAAATCCATTACCATAGCATATTTTTGGTTTGAAATCCTCGCGTGCAGCTCCTATTCTACGCAGCATCGCTCTGTTCCTTGCCACCAGGAGTTTTGCTAGAAGATAGGAGACGATATTTGATGCTCTATTAGGCTTTATAATTCCAGTTGTTTCTACTTACCAGAACGCTTGGCTTCTATGGTCCAAGAGGCAAGAAGTATCATGAAGATCAAACATTTCGTTATATCACGTTGCATCTTTTCGCAGAACTTCTGTTTCTACCTTATTTCTTTTTTATAGTTCACCATTTACATACTCTTCTTCTGCGATCGACTTAGATACCATTGAAATTATAGAAATTACAGTTAATAACACACATGACTTCAATCTATCATAATTAATAAAAAATTATAAGTGGCAATGTACATATCGGCTACTTAACTGATTGGTAGTTAGAAATTGAACCTGAAATGCGTCTACGTTGATTGCTCGACAGACGAAGAGCATGTGCAGGAATCAGTGGACTTTCTCTCGGTCACGATGATTGCACGACCTCATTTTACAACAGTTAACATGATGTAATATTGACGGAATCCTATAACAGCAAACAACGGTTAACTGAAGGCATAGAACCGTGGTGCTTTCACCTAGTGAATTTCAACAAGTTTTTTTGCTGGAGTTAAACTGGTTGCTTAGCTTTTTTATGCAATATGTTGGCCTACATTTACAATTTAAAATTGCTAGTAATTTACTATGCTAATTTCCTCAGTGCAGCTGTTGAAATGAAATGAACTAAAATAACTAAATCTATAAATAACAAATGTATAATTCCAATCCCAAAATGCTGTAGAAGATCATGTTATGTTAATAAATTTGAAACCCACAATTACAGATTCAACTCTTTGCACAACCTGTTTGCACATACAACTTAGATTAGATTTCTGTTGAAGTAACTGAGAGATTGAATACTATCGAATCAGATGTGACAATAATAATCTATAAGTGCTTTTTTCCTGTCGATTCACTTGTAGCACCAGGTGCACAAATAATCTGGAAACCATTGGAGGCTTTGATAAACTCGAGATTGGACACAAATGATTCTTGCGTTGATTGTATCGAAGTATCTTTGCAATGATTAGCATGTAGTCAACACCTGTGCTGGTTGATATTTTTAACTAATCAGCTAGGTATGTAATCCAGACAGACCTAGATAAGGGATATATTATATACACCTGGCAATATGAGATTGGTCTTGTCCTGTTGAGGAAGTATTGTTGTGCAACAATGTTAAGGCCACTCTTCGTTCTGGGCTGTGTTGTGCCAGTGATACTTGGTATACCATTGTCAGAGGATGAATATGAAGTCAATAAAACCAACTTTGTGTTTGAGGATCTGGATCATCTTCTTGCTTATGTGCAAACTCCTGTAAGTACACCTAAGTAGGGTAATTTTAAATTAGAAATAGTCTTTTTAGATATAGTCTGAAATTTTTTTTATTTATGAATTAATATGTAGTATCTTCTTCTTCTGTATAGACAGAGCGAGTGCGAAATTTGGGATACGTAGCTGAAATTCATCAAGTAGTCACTGAGGATGGATACATCTTGCAGATGGACAGAATTGTAGGATCAAAGAGTAGTCACGCATCTGACAAAAAAAACCCTGTGCTCCTAATTCATGGACTTTTGGACACCAGTGCTGCCTGGGTGCTGCCATGCCCTGAAAAAGGTTTAGGTATGTCAGATAAAAACAGAATTGGTATAATAAAATACACTCCATTCATTACTTTAACATTTTGTAAACTTTAGGCTATATATTAGCCGACCAGGGATATGATGTATGGATGGGAAATGTGCGTGGTTCTAGATTTTCAAGAAGACACGTGACATTGTCTACCAAAGACAAAGACTACTGGATGTTCAGGTAAGCCTGAATTTTTAAACGAGAACTGGTCCTTCAAACTGCCTTCATTTTCAAGTGCGAAATTGTCACCCTTAAAGATTCTACAACTCTGACATACCATATTTTGTTTGCAGTTGGCATGAGATGGGAATGTTTGATATCCCAGCAATGATTGACTATATCTTGACAAACACTAGAAAAGAGAAGCTCTACTATGTTGGTCATAGTCAAGGAAGCACCTCCTTCTTCGTGATGGCAAGTGAAAAACCGGAATATCAAGAGAAAATCATAGCAGCATTTACTTTGGCACCAGCAGTCTTCATGTCCAGAGCGACCCACCCTCTCATCCGCTTGTTAACTCCACACATTAACAATGCAAAAGTAAAGTTCAAGTTTTACTATTTTCGGTTACAGAGTCAAAGAAATATATAAACTTTCATAATTGGAATGTAAATACTTGATAATTACAGATACTGACAGACCTGATAGGTATGTATGAGTTCAAGCCGTCAAGCTCCTTAGTGAGAACACTGAGTAAAATTATGTGCAAAGATGAAATGCCCACTCAACCATTGTGCAAAACTGCATTTGGCATCATGGGTGGACGTAACGATAAGGACTTCAACATTGTAATTATTATATTTAAATATTATGATAACCTTAAATTATACATAAAATGTATTATTTACAGACTCTAATACCTGAGATTGCGCAATATGATCCTGCTGGAGCATCTACAAGACAGTTTGTACACTATGCACAATTGTGCACCTCTGGTTAGTAATCAAAGAAAGATGCATAATTTCTACATCTCTGTAGTAATTGTAATTTACCTGATTTAATGATGTTTGATCGTGCCAAGCATTAATTTTGCTTTTCTCCATAGGAAATTTCGCACACTATGATCATGGCCTTGTAGGTAATTTGTTGAATTATGGCAGTATACAACCTCCTAAGTATAACATTGCCAATATTAAGACACCTATTTATTTGTACTATGGTAACAATGATGAAATGGTCAATGTAAAGGTTTGTATCTTTTCCTTAAAAAGTATAATACCGGATTAAGAAATATGTTTTAGATGACAAATTGATAACAAGAAACTAAAACACCTGTTTCCTTGCATATTATTTTATGTAACAAAATGTTCTGAATAATAGCTTCTCTTTGTTTAGGTATCTAATTTTTCTTAAAAATAATTTTTGTCCATTCTTATAGGATTTAGAGCAGTTATACGAGACGCTACCAAATGCTCAGAAATTTTTGGTTCCGTACAAATGGTTTGCACATCTCGACTTTCTTTGGGGTATGCAAGCCAAAAATTTGGTATACGACGGAATACTTAATCTTATGGCGCAATATAAGATTTAAAGAATAAGATTTTAAAAAAGTGTAATAAATGTGATACAATGTGATATAATGTACGATTACAACTTGATCTCTAAGAAAGTATATCAACTGTAATATTGTATGGAACAGATTCATGTGAGCATAAAGATTCAAACGATTTGAGGGAATAAAAGTGCAAAAAGAATTTGTTTATAAAAGAATTATCGAATCAATCTTAGTGCTACTATTATCGAGGAAAATAAATGTGCATTTTGGATGTGTGTAGTGACTTTCTAGGGGAATTTTCCCTAAAATCTTCGATTATTTATAGAAAACTGCATTTTTCAACGAGAATAATAATACTACTGTTACCCATCATCCCTTCTCGCAATCCTAAAATAAAACTCAAACATATTATCGTATTACTTTAATAGAACAATAAATGATAACGTGTATAAATAGAATTGTCGAAGTAATATTATATTTGTTATGGGAAGGTATTAAGTACAGTATCGACATTACATGCTATTTATAGTACAATGCATGCCACACTCTAATGTGATCGCCATTTACGTATAGTAACTAGACATTAGGTTTGAAGTTTCTTGACTAACGACAGTAATCATTTCCAAATTGCCTGTTCTGCAAAACAACAATGTTCAACACAAACAACAATATATTTTCCCATTCAACTGTTGAAACATTATCATAATTGCCTACAATTTACTAACAAAAAGAGTTCGTTTTTTCTTGTTTCGTAAGATTTAATAGAAACATGAACAAGCACAACCTTTCCAATTGGTCCAAGAGTCACAACCGATACAAATATTTACCTCAAAGAATTGAAAACAACGTACTCGATAGTTGTACACAACCCCTCACACATACACCTACTCTACCTAGATTCGTTGTACAGTATATACTATAAATGATGTCACCTTTGGTCCCACTGATAGAAACTTAATGTTAATTATAAAGATTAGGACGTGTTAGTCGACATTGATTCAACCGTTTCGGGACTTTCCCGGAGTTGGAACCGAATGGCTGAACTAAAACTAGAAAATAAAGGAAAAACTTAACAACAAAAAAAAAACTGCACAGACTGCATTCGCATAATGAGCAAAATCGTTTCGAATCGAACTTAGTCGGTCCGTTGACTATTTGGACACAATAATAAATGACTTTCCTTCCCTCAATCCTTTTGCTTCGATCGGAAACATTTACACGTCTAAGTGATATGTACATTTTCCATCGACAACGCATATTTATCGGTTACCCGACTTTTTACACGAGATATTTACAAGGGTGCGATTAATGCCAGCATATTGGCAACTGAACCGTTCAAGTTGGAAAATTAACACTCTATAACCCAAATTTCAAGAAAATTTCAAGATAAATGATACAATAAACAGTGTTGATAAACGCTGATAACAGAACATTAATTGAAAGATAAATTCCAAATTCTATCCACCAGGTACAAATTGATGGAACGCTCAATTTAGATTTTAAAAATGTGGACAATGGCATCAAAAGCACTTGGGGTTATAAAAAGTTAATTCAGCAAGAGAAAAAAATACATAAATAAGTTTCTGCTTTTTGGAGCACTTTAAGGCTCCTTCCTATCACTAGCTGTCGATCATATCTTATTACTACAGCTTTGCGAGAGCACCGAGAGGTCTCCTGGGTGGTATCCTTGGCTGCCAGTTCCTCCTGGCGTTATTGAAATGAATATCATCCTCGTTTAACATCTTTCCGTAGCCTGTAAGAAATAAATTCTCATATAATAAAGAAACTAAATTTATTTATACGCGTTATCTACAGTCACAGTAAAAATTAACTCACGTTTTTCAAATTTTCACGGCCTCCAAAACTTCTTATCGACTCCAATAGCACATCCCTGGGATTCACCTGGACCGGCATAAATTTCGGCCTAGAATTCTTCAAAGTGACACCCATAATGACAGGCATCGTTGGAGGACTTGGTGGTTGATGAACACCATTTGACTCTGTGGACATGGCTTTTGTACATTCTTTTTGGTTTTCCTGGTCATCCATGGTTGAATTTGAAACTTTGAACCCTTTCACGATAGGCATCGCCTGACTGCTTTTTACACCGACACCATTTCTATAGGCGAAGTTCCTCTGGTTCTGAGGATGTATACCCACTATCAAAGTAAACCTCTTGGATTTAGAACTATCCTGATTCGTCAAGCACTCGTCATTAGTAACGCTAATCTTCTCAGAAGTAACATGTCCATTATGTTTGTTGGCATATGACTCCAATTGAGGGTCCGAGCGTCGACTTACGGTGGATTTTTTGGATTTCGAATGAAGAGAAACATCCTGACCACACGCCTTCGACAGCTTCTTAAAGTTTACAGGAGACATGTCGATCTCATTGTCGTCTTGTTTATCTTCGACATAACTTTTCTTTAATTCTACTCCTGTTACAACAGGTTTATCGTTGCTTACGGTTTCTTGTTTAAGATTAACCTTATTCGTGAGTGGCTTTTTAAAACCTGATGCCATCGTGTGCGTTATGAGTTTTCTGGTTAGGTCGTTTGGATCCTTCCTGTCCAAAGATGAATCTTCAACTTTCCTAGGGAGTTTGCTATCTTCGGTGAAATTTAGGTTATCTATATCATCCCTCGTGCAATTTATATTTACAATGGTTTTATTGCTGGCTTTGCTAGATCCTAATTTGTAGTCAGCGTCCTTTTTTATTTGGACGTTAACACTTGGTCGCTCTGACCAGCTACCTAAGTTGATCGTAGGTGGGCCGAAGTAAGTGTAACGCTTCGCATTTGTCTCCGCTGCTAATTTCTTGGACTCTGCCTCTGATGTTTTATTACTCTGTGCTCTTTGAGAGTCATGAGTTAAAGGTGTATTCGAGTCAATCGAATGTTCATGAGACGTGATCTCTGATCTGAAACAAATTTGGTTAAAAGTAACCACGATAGAAATATAGGATTAAGATATATACCTTGTTTTCTTGGATAATACTGTATCATCAGATTCTTTGGGCACATTTTCCTCCACCTGTTGAGCATTTTTCAACCGGGGCAAAATGCTTTTCATTACCTGGAACGTCGTACATTGTTATGAGAAAAAGTTTGATTCAGGTTTGTTTTTGTTAAAATATGTTCGTATTAGGTTTCCCTAGTTATTTTTGTATTTATGCGTTTGGCTGCAGTGGTCTATGCGTCTTTTTTTTTTTAAACTTGTAACTAGGTTCAGAATCTGTATAAGCCTACAATGGCAACATGTGTGTTTCCAATTCCTTTTTCTTACTTATAATTGATATATATTTTATTTCTTTCTTTTATTTACGTTAATAAATCTTAATAATAAAAGATAAGTTTATTTTCATTGGTTCTAACAGATTTATTAGCAACCACATACAGTGGGTGTAGAAAGTATTCGTACACCGATCAATTTCCCAAAAAACTTTTGTATGAAACTGTAGTTTCTTAATTTCTTTTTGTATAATCAATGATATTTTACATATTCTCGGAAGTCCCTAAGGTAGATATAGTCCAAACAACATTTACTAGTTAACATAATTTGTGAAATTAACAAAAACATGCGAAAAGTGGGTAAAAGTATAGAAGCAATAAGTATTTGTACGATTCTTTTGACGAACCATTTACAGTAGAGTTTGTAACGTAAACACATTAGTATATTGCTCCGTACGAATTAGAAAACATCAAATTTTCAGTAAAGTACTTTTAAAAATGGTTCTAATAGAGGGATTGAAGAAAATCCCACTTTGAATAACTAATAATTTAGTTAATTTAATGCTTAGAAGAGTTACAATAATTATAAAATCAAAAAGAAATCCCACAAAGGAAGTATTATATACTTGTAAATTAATGTAAATTTCTTTTTTTTAAAATCAAGTTTTAAAAATTAAACAGTTGTGCAAATACTTATTGCTTCAACGTTTCTATCGATTAATTTTGTTTTTCTTGTTAATTTCGCAACTTACATAAATAGCTATTTTTTTGTAATTTATCTATTCCAGAGATTTCTGAGAATATGTAGAATGTCATTGTTTATAAAAAATAAGTTAATAAATTACAATTTTACATAGTTTTTTTTAAAATTGATCGATGTATGAGTACTTTCTACACCCACTGTATGACAACAAAGTTATTATGCAACTATTTACCTGTAAAGACTGCAGCTGCTTTTCTTTGGTTGGTTCTTCCTGCTTCTTCAAAATATTGTCCCTCCATTGGGAGAATTTCTCTATGCTCTTAACCGTCGGTGTACTTAAGTTAGTACTACTTATCGCATTTTCTATCCTAACGCCGTCTACTTCCGCCAAGTTTCCACCACATCTACTATCCTCATCTTTAGGGGATTTTCCCTGAAACCTGGACTTGTCGCATACAGACACACAACTATTAGACCTCTGAATATTATCCTTTTCGTTACAGTTCCACCTGTGCGACTCCGTTTGAATTTTTGGTTCTAGCTTCTTTTCAATTGTATCACCTTCGTTCGCCCTCTTCTTTCCCTGCAACGTTCCACCGGTGAAATCCTTTAGATTTTTGTCTTCCGTTTCATCGAAATTGCTCCTGTTCCTGGACAACGTCGCAAACGACTTAACGTACCTATCGTTTGAACTACTCTGAGGAGATTTATCATCGGCTTCCTCAAATATATTTAAACTTTTTTGCCTCGAGTATGTAGTAATAGTAAAATTTGAAAGAGTGTTGTCTATGGGTGCAATTTTGGGGGTCGAAGAGTCAGAAATTCTTTTGAAGTCGGAGTCTTTGGTACCCTGAGGCAATGTTCCTATTTTGTTCTCCAGTTCCAAGATCACCTCCTTTTTCAAGTTGATATCTGATTTCTGCTTATTGACAGATTTCCTTTGGGGCATTTCTTCCTTGGTTTTATTTTCTAAGAGGTTCTCAGCTCCTGATGTTGTTGCCTGTTCCTCCAAAGAATGTCTAGAGTCTACTTTATTCCTTTCTGGGGTCTTCTGCGTAAGGTTTACCCCAACTTCAGTTTCTTCCTTGTTTATTTTGGTATCTGTAAAGGACTCAGTCGATGAAGGAACGGCATCAACGTTATCATGAACTGGAGAAGCTGCGTCTCTGAAGGCACTAGGTGGAGCTGGCAGCTGATACTCCCAGTCAGAAATTGACAAGTCTTCATCAGCTGCTGAGACGTAGTCTGATGTATCTTGTTGCGAATTGATAGCCAAGTATCCAGCACTAGTGTTGACCATCGACTTTTCTAGCAAGCTGTTGTTTTGTTGTGCGTATTGCTTTTTCGTGGACTCCTTTGCGATAGAAAAGTCTGCTTCTTTGGAAATATTCGTCGTTTTTGGTTTTACTTCGGCAGGTGAGACGAATCCTTCAACAGATACTTCATCGAGGGTTGAAACTGGCAGAGTATTCGATAGGGTGTCGGACACCTTTTGCAGCAAGACATCCGTGTCAGAGAGGCTCGCGTCTGCTGCGAAAATGTCATAAAATGTAAATTACTACTGAGATTACACGACTTAATTGCTTAAAATACAAAGAATCAAATGTGTAGATTTAATTCTTATAACTGAAACGTATCTTATAATCTTCTTTATTAATGCTGAAATTCTACGGTGCAATTACATAAAATTCCCAAGGAAAAGAACTAAGTACCCAACCCCAGTGGTTAGTAACAATGCAACATGCACCTAGTGCACCCAATCTTCCATTACCTCCACCTTGAGAACCAATTTTCTTCTGTTCCGATAACTGCACATCGCTTTTGGACTCCTTCGATTGGTCAGACAGTAAAGAATTGGACGCCACATTAAAATTCAAAGCAAAAGCGATGTCGTCCAAGTGAGAAGTTAAATATCTCTTCTGCTTTTCTAAGGTGTTGGTCTCAAAATCGTTAGACTTGGACGCCATCCGGGGGATCCTAGCTCTCTTGGAGTCTTTCATACCTTTCCCAACTTTATCCCCAATCCCATCAACCTCTGCTTCAATTTCTAAAGCATCACTTTCCTGCCTCTTCTTTCCTTTCCAAGTCTTCAATATCGGTTGTTTATCAATAATCAAATGATCACATTTTGGAATAGTTGAAATCACCACAGCACTCAACTTCCTTTCCTGTCCAAGACTCTTTTTGGAGGTTATGGAATTCTGTTGAATTAGAGTACTTTTATTACTCTGCCTTTCTATTTCTTCTTCACTTTTTTCGGTACTAGACTCCTCTTTAGCAGCGGTTCCATCATCCTCGACTAGTTCCAATGTATTAGGTGACTGTGTTTCATTGTTTCCTTTCATAGCTATTGAATCTTCACGAAAGAATAACTGATTGTGATCAGTTTTAGGTGTCAAGAACACGTCGTCATCGCTGGAGGAATAGTTGGAAGCTACTTCTACCTTTTCAGAATCTTTAATTTTTTTATCAAGCATAGTCGGAGTTCTAGAATTAATGCTGTCAGCGCTGGGGTATTCTTCATCGACGATGTCTGTATTTGTGTCACTAGTGGAGCTGCTAGCTACTTTACTGAAGTCCGCGTGGAGGGTTCTACTCAACGAGGAAGGTCCTACCTTGCGTTGTGGCACTTGAGGTCTCATATATGCGACATTGGTTGTTTGTCTAGGCTTGGGATGCGGAATAGGCACTCCAACTACACTCAAAATGAAAAGAAAGAAGAAAAAAAACCGTCACCAACAGGTCCAGATAGCAAGCAGGAAAATGGGTATTTTTGGGAGAGAATTATCGTGCATTGAGTGCAGTGCTCTAAAAGTAGCCAAAGTGAAAATTTCAATATTCTTATTAGAATAAAAACACCCTATATACTGGGAACTCATAAAAAATCTACATTTACACAAAACATAGTATTGCAAAATCAGAGGATGGAATGGGAACTTCATTCCACAATTTAAAAATTAATGTTGACGTAGCTAAACAAATTCCCCTACTCTGCTTTCCAGTATGGAGTTCAACTGGATGAGAAATTTGTTCCAATTCTCCGTAGACTCCTCTCTACTCACCAAACCAGGAGGAGGGGGTTCTAAGATACTTAGCTTCTTCTCAGACTCTAACCTGCTCTCAGCAGACCTAATCATAGGAAGGGATGGTAATTTATGTACGTTACTAAGACTTGGATCTATATCTATGGTCACCGGAATATCTAAAAGTTTCTTTGAAATAGCGAATATCTGTAAGTTGCTCAAAGGTGGCACTACAAGATTAGACTTACGACCGTCTACAGTATCACTCAACATGTCTCCATCAAGACTACTAGAAATCGAACCATCGTAACACTTGGTAGTGTTCACGCCCCCTAACTTAGGCTGTCCACTCTTCACAGATCCTAATCTACTGCCAGAAAAGCTATTCCTAACAATGTAGCTCCTCGAATCTGCGAAACTAGGTTCCTCGAAGCTGCTGATGATTTTTGTTTCCCTCATCTTATATATATTATCTTGAACATCTAGGCTGTGCTTCAAGCCTTGGCACCTCTCTCTGGAACTAAATCTATTCCCCGAAACGTTCTTTCCTACATCCACCTCTATATTATCGAGATTAACTAATGTTTGCATCTTAACCAGTCTATTTTCCGGCCAATCTTGAGTTTTGAAGGCGTCCTGGCTCAATAGCTGTCGATTGCCGTGAAGACTGGACGCCTTAATCCATTCTCTATCGTTTTTAGCGGCTATGTTTGAACAAGCGAAGCTCTGAGACTTCTGTACCTTGGAGCCTGGCTTGGAATTATCACCGAAGTCTAGAGAGCAGGCCGTCGACCTATACGAACGACCCGTAGGACACCTATCGCTAAAGTTCAATGAAAAATCGCTATTCCTACTAAAACTTGACCCATGTTCTGCTCGATACTCTTCGATTCTAGTCTGCAATTTTACTTTCTCGTAATTGAATAGGCTACGATGTCGCCTAGTGGTTCCCGTTCCCTCCTCCACTTCTAAGACCTGTTCGAAGCTGTTCCTTGAAATGAAGCTATAGGAAGGAGCATTATCCTCTATACTGCCACAGCTACGTACTAGCTTACCTCGTTTTTGGGTTCTAGCGTCTACGGGAGCGTCTTTTACAGGTACAGTGCCTCCTGGAGCGATGAATGGCGACTTAACATTTAGGGACTCTAGTCTTAGATGAGGTTCCACGTCCAATTCGCTCGATTTCTGCTTCATGTTTGGAGTAGAAGGTTCTGTTATTGTTGACGGCAATTTTGTTGCCTTCGTTGTTACTCCAATGTCTGAGCTGGCTTTCGGACATTCCTCTATGTCTGAACTTGATTTAAAGGGAACGCCAATGTCCGACGGGGGCTTGGAGGGGTCCATGTCTGACGTTAAGGACTCCTCGGAATCGACTATGCGCTCCAATGCTTGGGTAGAAATGGCGGACGACAGGGGTCTCGTTACTGGCGGAGGAGGTGCTGCTCTCTTTTTTCGTAGACCTAGAAAAATAAGCAAAATTAAATTGTTACTAACAAATGTTTTTATTAGACTTGGGGAAATTTTAAAGAATGTTCATAATAATGGACCTGCAGAACTAAGAGAGGTGTTGCTAACTCCACGAGTTAGCGTAGCAGAAACAGCAGTTAAATTGCCGAGGCTTTTGCTGGATTGGGAAGTCTGCGCCAGTTTCCTAGACGTCTCTGCAGGTACCCTGTTTCTTCTAGGCAATGTTTCAGGAAGTCTCCCAGCTGAATCGGGATTGTCACTCAATACCGAAGCCTCGTGGTAACCGGAACTATCGCTGCTGTTGCGACTATGACTGATCACGACCTTGTCCTTCCCAGAGTCACCGGCAGTCTCATCAGAAGTCTGAAAAAAAAAATTGATTTGAATACACAGCATAAATTATCAACAGGGGACTCAACAGTGGGATATTTCACCAATCTATCTGGCCAAAAGTAAAGGAGTCCCCAGATTTATATGAAATTTCGTATACAAGGGTTTTTGAATTCGTGGATTACGAATCTGAGATAAAAGAATAAAAAATCAAAATGGCGGATCCAATATGGCCGACTTGTATACTAAAAAGTTATTAGATTTGTATAAAATTTCACATACAGGAATTTTTAAGGTCACTGATTCCGAATCTGATATAAAAGAACAAAAAATCAAAATGGCGTATCTAATATGGCCGACTTTTATACTGAGAAATTAGTAGATTTGCATGAAATTTCGCATACAGGGGTTTTTGGAGTTGGTGATTACAAATGTGATATTTAAAAAATCAAATACTCAAAATAAATTTGAATTTAATAAAAAACAAAGACATATATACTTTGGCATTAAAAAATTAAAAAATGTACATATATATTAATGTCTGTAAATGAGTCACCAGTCTTCATTAGACGAAACTTCATCTCATCCAACAGCTGCAGATTATCGTCTGATGATGAATTCGATACGATACAAAAGCAAAAATTTATCAAGCTTTATCGAGAAATTTTATTGAAAACTAATACGAATACTGTAACTGTAGCATGAAACTTGTTTATATCAGATTTGTAATTAGCAACTCCAAAACTCTTGTATACGAAATTTCATGCAAATCTGGAAACTCCTTAGTTTGGCCAACTAGATTGGTGAAATACCCCCATTACCTTCTGTTACTTTACACTAGTTTATAACTAGTCCAATTTTTTAAAAAATCGTGCTTTTTCACTGCTATTTTTTGCATAATACGTTAGTATAAACACTAAGTTTTATGTCTGAGATAAAATAATTGCCAGGATGAACCCTGAAGTAGACTATACTCCTTCCTGTTGTTTAAAATTAAAATCAAAGTAAGAGTGAAAAGGCTATTTTTAAAGCCTTTTTTTATATAAATTAAAAGATACAAATAAAAAATAAAACGGTTAAATTAATAAATACATACCAGCTTTAACACAATCCATAATTCATTATGGTCAAATATTCGCACAAACGAAAATGTTCTCTTCTGAAATACAGCAAATACAATTTTAAGAAAGCACGATGCTTACGTGAAAACACACATTTAGATATGAGTGACTTGCACTTAAAGCCCGGTTGTTAGAGTTGCGAAATGGGTTGTTTTTGATCGCTAAATTTGTTTGACATTACCAGAAGACATCACTTTTTAAGCATTATAAACTTCAAAAACTGCATTTTTGGCCAGGTAAATTGGTTAAATATCCCACTGTGCACCGATAGCGTATGAGCGCGGCCGCTTAGCGCGTAGCCTTCGCTACTGCGGGCGCTCCACCGGCATACTCATGCTCTGATTGGTCAGTGTTTTCCGTTAATATCTCCTCAACGAACCCTCGGACAATATTTTCGCTAAAGAAAAAGTTGTTTCAAATTACCCCTCGAACCACCCCTTTCCAGGACCTCCAACATTTTTGGGACACCCTGTATACATTCAACTGTTTAAAAATAATAATTACAATCAAACGCTTGCACTTTTATCGAATGTTCGATGGACGAGAAAGATAATAGCTGCCACTTTCAGAGATGAATCTATACACATGGAATACCCTTCAGTTCAACGTTAGTGTTATTTGTTGATTAATTAGTATTAATTTTCACAAATACCGTTGAAATACCGTATTAAACATATCAGATTTGTCGAGAAGTCGGTGCTTGCTTTGACGGGGTTTACACCAGTAAATATGGCTTCCGAAGCCATCCATATTACGCATATAAATATACGTACAAGTACAATGAGTAAGAAAAGTATTGTGCCACTTCTCTAGAAATAAAGAAATATATTCGTACAAAATGTACAAACCCTGTCTAAAAGAATTTATGCAAATTCATATTTTCAAAACACCTTCGTACTGTTTCCATTTTATATCGAACATCATGCAGCTCTGGATTTTCATCTAATTATCATTGATTATTCATTGATTAGACTTTAGCGGACGTTGTACTACGGTACCATAGAATCTACTCTGTGTATATCGTGCACTTGCGTACACGAGATGTTTCAGTTAACTAGTTACTGAAACAAGTTGCGTTAAGATTGCTATCGCAAGGTTGCCAGCCTGCTCTTCCAGTTGTTACTTCTAGTCATTAACCGTGTACGGGGTTCGTTCGCACGCTCCATCTTGCTCTCTACCTCATCGTCCTCGTGTTAACCGATGCAGCGTTGAGATTTTACGCAGAGTCGGGGCAAAATTATTATTATTGAAAATAGAAGTCTAGTCACAACGTCTATTTCTTTTAATAATAATTAGTGGGAGAAGTTTATACGCATTTTATTATCGTTTCATTTAAAAATATTCCTATTAGAATTATTTTAAAGAAAAAATAATGAATCACTTGTCTGAAAGTTAGTCTTAAAAATTATTATTAATTAAAATAGAAGTCTACTCACAACATTTATTTCTTTTAATAATAATTAGCGAGACAAGTTTATACTCATTTTATTATCAGAAATATTATTACAGAATAGAAAAATCCTAAGGGCAAATATAAAAATAAGGATAAGACAGTGCAATAGCGAATAAAAAGAGAGCCCCCCCCCCCCCCCAGCTAGCACTATAAACACAACATACAAACAATTGCAAGGATATTTATTTAAAGGTTCCGGCGAAAACTGTAAAAATTCCAAGACAACACACAATATATCAGAAAAAATCAAATCGCCATACAAATTGAATGACTAATCAATAAATTGCTAACACAAATTGATAAACATAACTGACAACTATAAAACATACAAACATACCTAGTGGTTTAAATATAAACATCCATCCAACATTCATATTACAATACATTACACGATACTATTTCTGATACCATCTATTGTACATTGTTTCAGTGAGCTTGGAGGCGCTGGACCTGTCGCTGTCTCTGCAAGATTATCACCTTCAGGAAGTGACGCTCTATGCTAAGCAAGGTAGATCCTTGGGTGCAGCTCTCAGTACACAGGACATAATGGCTTTGCAAAGGCAAGAGGAGCGACGGAGGCAGCAAGCAAAGCAGGGTATTTTCGGGTTCGTCTTTAAGAAGTCCAAAGAGGTCTCTTTGAGCACGGACAGCCTCGGTGAACGCAGCGCGTCGCCAGCGAGGAGCGACGAAACTGGCAGAAGCACCAGTCCTCTTCAGCCACCTACTAGACCTCAGAGGAAGCGAAGGCCTGCGCCTAAACCACCTGTCACGGCGCAACAGGAAATCAGTAATGTTAGTATGGTGATACCAACGTCCCACAGTGGAATATTTACCTCTCTTAAGCTGGCAGGACCAAATCAGCAGAATCATATCGGACTTAGTGGAATATTTAGTACTTATTTTGTACTAATTTGTACCACCAACAATAATTTTGTACCTCGTGCCGTTTTCGAAAAAATTGTGGTCCTGCTAGCTTAATATTAAGCTAGCAGCGTGACGATTTTTTCGAAAACGGCACAAGGTACAAAATTATTGTTGGTAGTACAAATTAGTACAAAATAAATACTAAATATTCCACTAAATCCGATACGATTCTGCTGATTTAGTCCTGTCAGCTTAAGAGAAGTGGGATATTTAACCAATTTACCTGGCCAAAAATGCAGTTTTTGAAGTTTATAATGCTTAAAAAGTGATGTCTTCTGGTAATGTCAAACAAATTTAGCGATCAAAAACAACCCATTTCGCAACTCTAACAACCGGGCTTTAAGTGCAAGTCACTCATATCTAAATGTGTGTTTTCACGTAAGCATCGTGCTTTCTTAAAATTGTATTTGCTGTATTTCAGAAGAGAACATTTTCGTTTGTGCGAATATTTGACCATAATGAATTATGGATTGTGTTAAAGCTGGTATGTATTTATTAATTTAACCGTTTTATTTTTTATTTGTATCTTTTAATTTATATAAAAAAAGGCTTTAAAAATAGCCTTTTCACTCTTACTTTGATTTTAATTTTAAACAACAGGAAGGAGTATAGTCTACTTCAGGGTTCATCCTGGCAATTATTTTATCTCAGACATAAAACTTAGTGTTTATACTAACGTATTATGCAAAAAATAGCAGTGAAAAAGCACGATTTTTTAAAAAATTGGACTAGTTATAAACTAGTGTAAAGTAACAGAAGGTAATGGGGGTATTTCACCAATCTAGTTGGCCAAACTAAGGAGTTTCCAGATTTGCATGAAATTTCGTATACAAGAGTTTTGGAGTTGCTAATTACAAATCTGATATAAACAAGTTTCATGCTACAGTTACAGTATTCGTATTAGTTTTCAATAAAATTTCTCGATAAAGCTTGATAAATTTTTGCTTTTGTATCGTATCGAATTCATCATCAGACGATAATCTGCAGCTGTTGGATGAGATGAAGTTTCGTCTAATGAAGACTGGTGACTCATTTACAGACATTAATATATATGTACATTTTTTAATTTTTTAATGCCAAAGTATATATGTCTTTGTTTTTTATTAAATTCAAATTTATTTTGAGTATTTGATTTTTTAAATATCACATTTGTAATCACCAACTCCAAAAACCCCTGTATGCGAAATTTCATGCAAATCTACTAATTTCTCAGTATAAAAGTCGGCCATATTAGATACGCCATTTTGATTTTTTGTTCTTTTATATCAGATTCGGAATCAGTGACCTTAAAAATTCCTGTATGTGAAATTTTATACAAATCTAATAACTTTTTAGTATACAAGTCGGCCATATTGGATCCGCCATTTTGATTTTTTATTCTTTTATCTCAGATTCGTAATCCACGAATTCAAAAACCCTTGTATACGAAATTTCATATAAATCTGGGGACTCCTTTACTTTTGGCCAGATAGATTTGGTGAAATATCCCACTCACGCTGGTGCTCCACCGGCATACTCGCGCTCTCATTGGTCGGGGAGCGCGGCTACCTAGCGCGTAACCTTCGCTACCATAGCCGCTCCAACAGTATACTCGCGCTCTGATTGGTCGAACTTTTCTGTTAATATCTCTTTAACGAAGCCTCGGACAACATTTTCGCTAAAGAAAAAGTTGTTGCAAATCACCTCTTCGAACCACCCGTTTCAAGGTGTTACAACATTTTTAGGACACCCTGTATTACATTTATGATTTATATGCGTTCATATAACTGAAGTGAAAAAACGTTATTTTACCTTGTAAATCTGACCGAATCAAAGAAGGCTATATATATCCTTCTTGATATTTAAACCGGTAGCACTGGGTCTGGCTACCTTTTTAACTCCCTTGTTCGTCTACCGAACGGGTTTGCGTACCCAACTATACTTTTAATAAGTTTCTTCAGCGAACAAGAAGCTAAATAACAGGTAGTGGAAATCAAACCAGTTGGAATTCTTCGAGAGTCAATAGTTACTCGGTCATTTATAACTTTCGGTTGATAACGTGAAACGTTTGGTTAGCTAACTGCTAAGAAAGAGGTCAGAAACCATGGGTCGTTCGATATTTTATCGAACAAAAGAAATAAGTGAAAATTTATCGAAATTTTAGAAGGGTTAAACTTTACTTTCGTGGACCTAAATTTTTAATGTTTTTTTACATAAGCCTATAGATTTCGACGAGTGGAATCCAAAAATGCTAGTTTTCAGGCGAGGAATCCACTGGTTCAGAAGTTAAAGGTGAACCTTTTTACCGTATTTGTCAGGGAATTCAAAAGTTGAATTCGTACTCTAGGAATTCGTCCTTCCCGAGAAAATAGGCCCAAACTAACTCTGTTAATTCGAAATATGGCAGTTTTCAAAAATAGGCATAACGATATAAAAGTAGTACATAATGTAGTCCACCACCAACCGAGAATCTGTTTTACCGACAGAGGGTATGCCTACAAGACAACATGGCGTCGAAATTGTCAGTCAAATACGGTAAAATTCCACTTTTAACTGCGCATAACTTCTAATTTAGTGGATTCCTCGCCTTTAAACTACCATTTCCGGATTTTTTTCGACAAAATCTACAGGATTATGTAAAAGAACTTAAAAATTTTAGGTCCGCCAAAGTAAAGTGCAGCTGGAAGGGAAGATGTCCTATACTCTGTGGGTTAGTGATCTAAGAAGCAATGTACCTGGATGACGCAGCTCATATTTGTCCCTGTCCAAATTCTTCTCCCTGCAGACCTCGTCCAAAATTTCGCCTAAGTTCATTTTGGGACTGACTCTGGAGACGTACAGCTGATTTCTAGGCAAATGCACCTGCAGCAGTTGCACAATCCTCGTAATCGCTAACTGATTAAAGGGGGATATACCGGGTGTCCCGTGCAAACATAAACCGTTCTCTCATAAACTAACGAATAGACTGCGGATCTTCATGCAAAATAAAATCTTCGCGAACGTGACTACAAAAATTGAATCTAAAAAGGAATTTATTTTATTCTGCAAATATTATAACATGAACTCTACTTTCAATCCTTTTTATATTCTTGCATATTGTTTGCATTTTGTAGTTTTTTGCACATTCAAATTTCCTATAAATGTATAAAGCTCCGCAGTCTACTAATGAAGATATCGACTACGAGTTTGGTATAATTATAATGGCGCGAAAGAGGAGATGGCTTTATAGTAACATTTGCTTACCTGTAACCTGAACGTCGTTTCAAACGGTTGGTTGGGGTACTTCGTTTTCTTTGGTACAACGGTGCCCTGTTTTAGTTGTAATTTTACCTGAAGTGATAGAAATTACACGATTAATTAACTGTTCACTGTTAACTGTTCCAGAGCTAAAATCTCGGAATTGAAAGTGTATGAATAGATTCTCGGCAAGTAAAGTAAAGTGTAAAGCTGTTGACGAAGTACCTGAAGCGCATCCAGCGCGCCAATTGGGGTGTTCGGTTGATGAGGTAAGACCATTCCACGTTCCCCTATTGCCTGCAGGGTATAGCTCGATGCCGTCAACTTGTGAGCCGTGGCGATTTGCACAAGGAGGTCCATCATCGGAGTGCTGGGAACAGAAATTCAAGAGACTTATACATAATTGGTTATTTATAGTAAAGAGGAATGGTTGTAAATTACAATCAAACGCTTGCACTTTAATGAAATCAAAATTCGAGCGTTCATATAGTGTTCGCAAAGTCAAAGAAAAGAGTTGTCAATTAAAGCTTGAATCTACAAGGTGTCCCAAAACTCGCGAAGGAGCCAGAAATGGAGGATAGCTGAGAAGATTCTGAACAACAATTTCCTTTGCAAAAATGTCGGTGGGGGCTTCATTTTTGAATTACACTAGCTCACAAAATAAAAAAAAACAAATGTACATTCAAAGCCACAATTTTTTTTTACGTATTTTGGCCTACTAAACTCGAAAATCGCAAGAAAAAAATTTTCTATGAATAGGTTTTTTTTATATGAATATTTGAATTTTTTTTTCGATTTTTTTCTGACATACCTTCACATTTTAGGCCATGTCTCGAGTTAGAAACGTCCGATTGAATCGCACAAGACGCCATTTTAAAGATAATCGAATTTCCAACAATTGCTTACCACATTATTTTCCAATCGGTTGAATAGTTTAAGTGTTACGAGCCAATATATATGAGAAACTTTGATTTTTTCAGCTAAAATAGAATAAGAATATTTCTTCCATTGCCATGGACAAATAGAAATTGTCAAACTATATCCAGTTTCTTATTGTTTACGTATAGATCGCACTTTTACGAAAAAAAACAAGTTTTTATTGAAGAAAATCTATGGATAAATACCGATGTTAGGAACAACTGAGTAAAGGTACAAAAATTCCAATTTTACTCTGTTTTTGTATTTTTCTTCTATTTATATAGGAAACTTTTATTTAATTAATTTCGATTAGAAATAATTTCGGCCTTTACTTTGTCTTCTGTTATTCGTTGGGTTCGTTTCTCTGATGAGGAACCAAATGTAGTCTCTCAACATTCTTTCATCCCAATATCCTTGATAGCACTGCACAATAGTTTAGGGCTTCAGGCTCGGCAGAGTATGAATTATAAGGAAGTTGTTGAAGATTTGGTAATAAATTATGGAAAGATGGATATGGAATATATATTGTTATTCTATTTGATTTGACAAAATGGAAAAATTTGTATATTTAATTTCAATTTTAATTTCAACAAGCGTAAATATGTCACTCAAAGTTCATTTTTTATATTCTTATTTGGATTTTTTCCCGGAGAATCTTGGCGATGTAAGTGACGAACACGGCGAAAGGTTTCACCAAGATATAAAAACTATTGATCAGCGCCATCAAGGATATTGGGATGAAAGAATGTTGGGAGACTACATTTGGTTCCTTATCAGAGAAACGAACCCAACGAATAACAGAAGACAAAGTAAAGGCCGAAATTATTTCTAATCGAAATTAATTAAATAAAAGTTTCCTATATAAGTAGAAGAAAAATACAAAAACAGAGTAAAATTGGAATTTTTGTACCTTTACTCAGTTGTTCCTAACATCGGTATTTATCCATAGATTTTCTTCAATAAAAGCTTGTTTTCTTCGTGAAAGTACGATCTATACGTAAACAATAAGAAACTGGACATAATTTGACAATTTTTATTTTTCCATGGCGATGGGAGAACGCCCCGATCTAGCGTAGCCAACTAATCCTGGCCCGAGCTTATGCTCTCGCGGCTCATCGTGCGCTAATCGGCCACTGTGATTGGTCAGTGTTTTTCACTAATAATTCAAAAATGAAGCTTCCACCGACATTTTTGCAAAGGAAATTGTTGTTCAGAATCGTCTCAGCTATCCTCCTTCCAGCTTCTACGAGTTTTGGGACACCCTGTATAATGAACTCCAAAGCTGTGGTAGCGGTGCGTGAGCTACTTGGAGCGGCTGCAGGCAGCACCAATCTCGAAGTGGAAGACACTTTTCTCTCCGTTGGAGTGTAAAAACGGATAGAAACTTTCATCCATCCGGAAGATTTCCCGCGCCAGTAAACGGTTCGTTAGCCGCGATTGTTGCACTGGTTCAAAGTACGGGTATCGTTTCTCCCAGAGACGCAGTTTATGCTCAGCTGCGCGATTTCCACGGTGCGACCCGAATTTCTGGAAAGCGCTCGTGTAATCGTCGCCCGACGTAAAAACTTTACTGGACTGCCAAGTATAGGAAGGAAAAAAAAAACAATCGCGACGGGTGAATTGCTCCATCTCCGATGGTTTTTAGCATCTTTAGAAAGCACAAGAAAGCTACAAGAGATTTGATAGTCACACGTCAGATGTATAACCCCCTGGCAATAAGTTTTGAGATTAGACAGATTAATGGAAAATTTATTAAGAACATTTATGTTTTAGAAATCATATAATGTTAATCGTGCATAGTTAAAATTGAGGGTGACGAAAGGGAAATTTCCATCTAGAGGAGATATGCGAACCTGACACACGACTTTTCAAAAATTAATTTTTTTTTTTAAACTGATAGTATTTCGTTTGTACTTGATTGTACCACCAATAGTTTCACTTGTACCTTCAACAATTAATAAATAAAAAAAATTAAAAAAAGAATGGCCAGCACTCAACATTGAGATATTTCAAATCTGTTTTTTCCCTGTTTTTTAGAATCGTTTGTACACGTTTGTACCGTTTTTCGTTTTATTTGTACCTGAATAGTTTACATTTTACAAGCCATTGTTGATACGGTTGAATTGTGAAATTTATACTATTGAGGTACAAACGAAACGAAAAGGAGTACAAACGACTCTAAAAAACGGGGGAAAAAATGATTTTAAAAACATTGAAAATTGACAAACTTCTGTCGTCAACGCTTATAAACAATTGCTGTATAATTTAAACTATTGAGCCATTGGTTGGTGTTTTCCGTTAATATCTCCTTAACGAAGCTCGGACAACATTTTCGCTAAGGAAAAACTTGTTCCAAATCAGCCCCCGAACCACCCCTTTCAAGGACCTCCAATACTTTTGGGACACCCTGTATAAACAACTTAATCTCTCAGAAGTTAATGTCACATAATAATAGAGCAAAATGGATCCTATACGATTCAATAATGTAACATAAAACATAAAATATTGTGTATGTATTACTTATTAATAAAACGGAAGAAACTTTTGGGACAACCTAATATTACTGCGAATATAATAAATTCCTATTCCTAGTATCGAATTCCTGCGATAAAATAATAGGTGCATTGGCTATCGTGACTTCTGATAGCTGATAAATACACAATTTTAATGATAAATACAGTAAAGTCTCCTTAAATTACACAAGCTCGAGACTAAACTTGAGCGTTTACCGTAGAGTTCGTAAATTTCCTAATGTTTGCCGACGAGCTTCGAACGTAGAAAAGGACAAGGAATAAAGAGAACGGAGCGAAAACACCGAGGTATGTCGATGAAACAATGTAACCCAAGGATGAAACTTTTTTATTATTAACTTTTTTGTTGTAAAACTTTACCATCATATTCCCGGCATTTTTCTGATTAAAAGGAGACCAAACACGAGATAATTCGTAACATATTTACTTGTAACAACTTATCATATTGTAGAACGCTAACTAAAAAATGATGCATGGTAAATATCATCCGATAACAGATTCTCTATAATTCGCTGAAACACGGGAGCAAAAACGACGAATTACGTATAGAAGAAACGAAATTTTAAACGGACCTGGTAACCGCTATTTTGAAAGAGAGGTAATGAAAGAAAGAAAGGAAGATCCGAGAGTCCCCGGTGCGGCAGAAGTTAAAAGACCATATGTCGGCGAAACACACTAACGCAACAAGTTTTTTATTTTTGACTTTTTGGAAGTGAAAATTGTACCGTCGTATTTGTGTTATTTTGCCAAGTAAAATGATACCAAACATGGCATAATTTAGTGCATATTTGCGTATTTTACGGGCCAAAGGAAACAAATCATTACATTTTTGAAATAAACAAATATGGACGAACTCCGGACTGACTGGTGCATTCATGGTAGAGTTCGTACATTTTCTGATGTTTTCCCGACAAGCTTCGAACGTAGAAAAGGACAGCGGATAAAAGAAGAAGACGGAGCGAAAATACGAGGGTATGTCGGTGAAACAATGTAATGCAACGGTCAACTTTTTTATTATTAACTTCTGTATTGTAAAACTTTTACGAAGAAATCTTTCAACAAATTGTAGAGTCAGATTATAGAATCTACTGTACATCGTGTTTGGTTTCATTTTAATCAGAAAAATGTCAAGAATATGATGACAAAAGTTTTACAACAAAAAGTTTCATCGTTGCATTACATTATTTCACCGACATACCTCGGTGTTTTCGCTCCGTCCTACTCTTAACTCGCTGTCCTTGTTTGCGTTCGACAATCGGCGGCAAACATCGGAGAATATACGAAATCTACGATAAACGCTCAAGTTTGGTCCCGAGCTTGTTCATTTAAGGAGACTTTACTGTATTTATCATTAAAATTGTGTATCTATCTATGATTGAACTTCTAGACCCCTCAAAAGGTACACCCCTCAGTGGTGAGGCTGGTTTCTGTGCACTTATCGTGGACAAAGGGTACAGCCAGTTTTGGGGGTTAAAAGTGCCCTTAGATTGATTTCGATTTGCGATGATATATTCGATAGGTTATCAAAAAAGACTAATCTATTTAACTACAAAACTAAAGGTAAGTGACTTGAAAATTTCAATTTCACATAGTAGTTTAATGTAAGACGTGTTAAATAATATCGTAGTTGATAAGATACTTGACAAGAAAAGCGGTATGAGCGCTCCAAAATTGTTCTCATGTATATATTGCATGTTGAAACATTATAATATGTTTAATATGCATAATAATATAATAATATAATATGTTTAATATGTATAATAGTATGTTTTTATTATTTGTAAATAAGTATTTCATTGTTACATTGTCAGAAATTCAAAAATATATGATTAACGAAAAATAAAAATACCACCTGGAGATTCGAACCTACGCTCAAAAAGCATGCAGCGGTACTATAACAAAGTACCTAACCACTTGCGCCACGGACGCTATTGAAAATAATATAGATAGTTTTGAAGATATTCTAGATACAAAGTGTATGTTGCTTTTGTTAGATTATATTAGTTTTTTTAGTATCTACACCGTTTTGATCGATGTCAAAACATTAAGAATTATGTATTTCATAAAAAGTATACAGAAATTCCGTATACAAGTTACTCTAACATGCCGAAACAGCGAAAAAAAATCGATTTCTGACTTTTCCAAGTGCGGCGCACCACTCCTAAAATTATGAAAAAAATTGAGGATAATAGTAACAATAATATATACTTCTTGTAATTATATGATCGTAGTTCTGAGATTCCTTCTCCAAAAAATGCAAAATCGGCATTTTTCACCATTTTTTTTTGTGTTTTTTATTTTTTGCAACTTGGATTTTGAATTGAAAAATCTGACAAAATTCTGGAACATGCAACTCGCTAACTGAAGTATCTCATTTTTTTTTTCAAATTTTTTCGTGCAACAGGACGGGAGAAATTGGTCAAAAACGTGATTTTTGTTTTTTCTTGTTTACTCAAAGAGTTCGTTGAGATAGGGTCTTGAAACTCGCCACTGATTAAATTTTTTTGATAACCTATCGAATATATCGTCGCAAATCGAAATTGGTCTAAGGTCACTTTTGACTCCCAAAACCGGCTATACCCTTTGTGTGTCTTACTGAGACATTACTGTGTCCCCCAGTGGGGGGGGGGGACGGTTTCTGTGCATTCATCGTAGAGAAATTTGTTTATTTAAGGGGTAAAACCACTGTAGAGGCAGGAAAAAAGACCTAAATTTGACAATTTATTTCGGGAGTGTGACAAATGGAATAGAATTTCTTTTCAGAGGGTTTATTTAACACATACTGAAGAACTAAAAACAATTTTTTTATTATCATTTTCATACAAAATGGCGCTGACAGAGCTCGTCGTCGAAAACACTTTTTTTGAAAACACCGCCACGGAAGAACGGATTTCTCGGCATCTATGAGTCATCGAACAAAAACTAAAGAAAATTTATAATCTATATACAATTGGCTTTGGAAGTACGTAGGGTTTTTCTTCTTAATCAATTTTTGTGGAACTGACGCACTTTTTAAGCAATGAATCGACTTTTTGCCCTAAAAATTAGCATTAAATTGTTTAAAAAAAAACAAAGTTTACATTCAATCAAAAAAAATATTGTTTTGAAGCTACTGTAAACATTTCAAATCGATCCATGCAATAGTCACTGAGAAATCCGTCCTACCAGTTTGAAAGTGGTTTCGAGAAAAACGCATTTAAAGTTTTATATACACTTTTATCGCGCTCTGAGGCGCTGCGGCAAAATCAATAATTGAACACTTTAACGTTTGTTTTTCACTATAAATCAAATGACGTATTATTTTGATGACCCTAAAGTATTGTTTAAGCAAAAAGAGAAAAAAAATGGATTTTTCGAAAATCCTAGAGTGGTTTTACCCCTTAAGGGAAGAGTCTAGACCAGCTAATGTATTTTTCTAATGCATATAATTTCCAGATGTAATTAATTCTTGTTATTGAAATCTTTTTTTACATATAAAGAGACGTTCAAAGAAGAAAATTCGACAGTGTAGATTTAATTTGAATGTATACATACAAGGTGTCCAAAAATGTTGAAGGTCCTTGAAAGGGGTGGTTCAGGGGGTGATTTGGAACAACTTTTTCCTTAGCGAAAATGTTGTCCGAAGCTTCGTTAAGGAGATATTAACGGAAAACACTGACCAATCAGAGCGTGCGGATACTGTTGGAACTCCCGCGGTAGGCGCAGACTACGCTCTAGGCGGCCACGCTCATTCGCTACCGCGAGCGCTCCACGGAGGATACTCGCGCTCTGATTGTTCAGTTTTCCGTTAATATCTCCTTAACGAAGCCTCGAACAATATTTTCGCTAAGGAAAAAGTTGTTTCAAATCACCTCCCGAACCACCTCTTTCAAGGACCTCCAACATTTTTGGGACACCCTGCATAAACAACCTAATCTCTCAAAAGTTGATGATACATAATAATTCACGATTCAGTAAACATTTATATAAAATTCAATTAATTATATAAATAACACAAATAAATAAACGTATATACAAACCAATTTGTAGCGACAAATGCAATATACTAAATACTATTAACCTCATCAAAATGAGTTGCTTGTATATATGTATATGAATACATTCAAATTAAATCTACACTGTCAAATTTACTTCTTTCAACGTCCCTTTATATGTAAAAAAAATGTTTCAACAACAAAAATTAATTATATCTGGAAATCATATGCATTAGAAAAATACATTAGCTGGACCAGACTCCTCCTTGAGGAGACTTTACTGTAAAACTTTCTACTGTGTCTACCTTCTTTGCACCATAACCCTCTGAGTCTGATAATGATGCTCCCTTGGCAACTGGATCAGAAGCTCCATACTTCCGGCCAGCATGTCTGCCGGCGTGTCCTCTGTCACAGTCAGAACCATTCTGGATGGCCTCTCTTTTCTAGACCTGCAACATAATCAAAGCAACACGGCTGAAATTTACCTTTGCAATTCTAACTGAAATTAAATATAACTGAAATTAAATACGACTAATTTTTTTAATCCATCGATTAAATTAAAATTGCACAAACTCTCTGTTAACGCGTGAAAAAAATTAAGTTAGGACACACCGTAACTCGTGCCTTACTATTCGTGTAACGAGCGAGAGTCTTCTGTCTCGAAGGAATTTTAAACGACTCGGAGTGGTTGGTTTCCTTTCGACAACTCAGAGTCGCGTTCATTCAGTTCAGAAGTGTCGCAAACGCGAGCTAGAGAGGCACTTATGAAATTTCTGTTGAAATCTGTTTTTCTTGTGAGATCCAAAGATAAGATTCATTCACGACTACGTGCCCGTGCGTCTTGTGATTTATGCGATCCGTTAATCATTGGAACTATAGCTACTCTGTCCAACAATAACAGATAAGTGTAAGAGTATCTCAAGGACACCGTTACGAAAATGTTTGTCGTCACGTCCCAGGTGTAGCTGATACCTTTGTTTAGGTTTGACCCAGAAAACTTTTTAAGTTGTTTTTAACCAACTTCGAAAAGGAGGAGGTAATTTTGAATGTAAGTAATTTTTTGTTTTGCGAGGACTACGAAAATAGGTAATTTAATATAAAGGAGATAAAAATTCTTTCATACTTTTTAGTGCAGTTTTAATATTTTTTCGAAGTCGGTTATATTTTTGTTCCAAAAATTATTTTATTATGCGCAACGATTATCGGCACTAGTAAACTGTCAAAAATGAAGATGCGTCGACACAAATTCATTTATACGAATTGTTTATTAGTGTCGTAGAGTAACACAAAAAATTTGACAAAGATTCGTGATATCAGGTCCGTGTTAGAACAAATCATTCTCAAGGTATGAAATATCAGTTTTATACCACGTTTCCGCAGTCAGGGTTCTAGGTGGGTTCTGCTAGAAAATCTCACGGAAGGACACGTGATTTATTTCTCGCTCAGCATGATCTGAAATCGCCGTGACATGGTGTTTTTGCAGCGTACAGAAAATTATTGGAAAAGTCGTTGGCGCTTGAAGAAACACCATCCGCTCGCGGTCGAGACACTTTCCTTTCATTTTATACTGGAGAAAATAGTTTAACGGATCGCCAAGATTATTGTTTTTATCGAGCAGTGGATTCAACTCTGAGATTGCTGAAAGGAATCAACGGAAACTGTATTTCTATTATATTAAGGAGTCTCCCTAGACTCCTAACCTACGAAAACCGAACAGTATCAGTAAACAAGATCGAATATAAAGAAAAACTTTTAGGTCCTTAATCATACAGGGTGAGTCCGAAGAAATAGAACACCTAAATATTTCCGTTACTTTCCGTTGTACAAAAAAACTTCTTAGGGCAAAGTTACACTGTTTGAAGGGCCACTGTAACGGTGTAAGAGAAAAAATTTTCAAGGTCTTTTTTTTTTTTATAAAATTTCAAGGTCATCGATGTTTTTTTAAATGGAATGATATATTTTCGTTAACGTAATGTTGTAGTTGACAAAATAACGGATCATCCATGTACTACAATATGACCTACAAATGACCTTCAACACAGAAAAATGGAATAAATAAAATTCAACGTGTAAGATTCATTTGCTTTATTCCTGTTAAGCTTGAACCTGTGTAGATTGAACGACAGTGGTTGAAAAATACAGGAAAGGCAAAACTAATTTATTATTAACGCAAAACTCATCTCATTGCGACCAATATAATCAAACGCTAACGCAACCCCGATACTCAGCGAGTTGTGTAATTTTTTTTAGTTTAATTTATTTTTTTTATTTCAATTTTGTATCATAGAAATATACTTTTCATATATTATGTACTGTATACTGTATATTATATATTACCTTACGCATATTTTAAGGTTGAAAGTAATTTTTGATGTAAATTATTAATGTTAGCTGACCGACTAATGTAATTAAACCAAAAATGTATCCATGCTTGCTCACTTCCGTTTGATTACATTTAAAAGTGAAAAACGAAACTAGAATGGTTTTCAACCTGAATGAATTTAAAATTGGATGGAAAGGAATAAAATTGAAGATAGCTAAACCAACTCTTATTCGAAGGAAGTTCAGTTTTTATAGTTCAAGAGTCTAGGGAAACCCCTCAAAATAATAGAAATAGTATAGTTATATATCCATAGGGTGTAGTTCGAAAAGCGATTTGCACATCCGTGCCTTCCTGTTAAAGTCGAATGAAGGTACATAATAATATGCAAAAACTGTACTGAGAATTTCAATACCAATTCCGTTTTGAAGATACTTGAGGAATACCGCGGCCATGGAACGTGTAACGAAAGCGCAACGCACAATTAATAAATCTCAGGGCTGTCGAATAGGAATATGGCAGAGCACATGGTTGTGCACATGACTTCAGGACGCGCGTCTCTAGAGCGATTCGTGATATATAAGGACTTACCCAATCGGATTCCACGGTTGCACGTTTTCCACCACGAGATCGGTGAGAAGGAAACGTACAGCGCGGAGCGAAATGACACATGATAATCACCGCTTTATGATTGAAAACCATTCTAGTTTCGTTTTTCACTTTTAAATATGATCGAACGGAAGTGAATAAATGATTGAAGACGATGGGAATGGAGGTAAACCGGAAGTTGGGAATGAATAAAGACAAAATGGAGATGAGTGGGAATAAACGAGGGAGATACGTGTAGGTCAGTAGCTGAGCTATGGTTACCGTTTTGCGTGTGATTACACTAATCGCTGAAAGCGCAGGCGACGCACAGTGGTCCAAATGGCCAAAAGCCTAGCCAAAATTACGAATCTCGTATAAAAATTTCAAAATTCAAAATTTTTGATCCAATATGGCCGACACGTATATTAAAAAGTTGTTACATTTTCATGAAACTTGGTATTTAAGAGTTATTTGAGCCGCAAATTACGAATCTGGTATCAGAATTGCAAAATTCAAAATGGCAGATCCAATATGGTCGACATGCATATTAAAAATACTAAATTATTATGAATTTTTTATGAACTATGATTTCTAGGTTTATAGGGCAACATAGTTAGAATACATTGGCAGAAATAACAATAATAAATTAATGTTAAATTAAAATTAAGGATAATAAGGTTTGTTTTAATGCCGCGTAAACAGTCTTCCTTTCCTTGTAAGCATGGCGCAAAGCGATGCGACGTCAGTACTGCTTTCTCATGAAAAGTTGGCCAAGATTCATAAATTTTAGAATAAAGAATGCTGTTTTTAGTCTTTAGTTTCGTTTAAATAAATGGAAAAGTAGATCTTTCAAAAGTAGGCTACATTAATCTAGCCGCTTGTAACCGAAACTTTGACAAATTATAATCTCGGATCCTTTATTAAGTAAAAACGTATTAAACGTAAACAAGTTATGCTGGTTGGACAGATTGTAAATACTCCTACTTGGCACTTGAAATTTAAATAACAAACTGGCGCACATTTGCGCAAGTTTTCTCAATTGGATATCATACCTGACATGTAACTTAATATCAAGAAACTTGGCAGAGCGTGTCACTCGGTGACTATCATCTTTGTTTTCCTTCCGATTCATCGAAGTTAACTAAAATTTATACCATATTGAGAAGGGAATTACAATAGTGAATCCAAAAATACTTTACTTTGTTCTTGTGGAAAGTTTATGTTTATAACATCTACTTTTTTGGTCAAATGATTTACATATGAATCTATTGAGGATAAACTTTCTGTGACACAATAAACATGCGTCACTTTTCACGATATCAAGGAGCATGAAATTTCGTCAACTTTGAACCTCTGTATATCAGTAACCGATTACTATTTTTTAAAATTTCAAACGGCATTTAATCCACTCATATGTATACAACACACGCATAATATTGAAAAAAGTGTGTTCGAAACTTCAAAGATTGCATTTTGGCCAGGTTTTCGGCCATCCGGACCATTGTGCGTCGTGTCCTGCCCTTGTGAGCTATGGTTACGTTTTGCGTATGATTACACTATTCGCTGAGCTAGGGGATTGTGTTAGCGTTTGATTACATTGTTCGCTGAGCTATGAGATAGTTTCACGTTAATAATAAATTACTTTTGCCTTTCCTGTATTCTAATAATTCGGTTTTCAACCACAGTCGTTCAATCTGTGATCGATGACCTGTAAGGTTTTTTCTACATTTACCGATTACTAATAATTCAGACGAAATTCCACGAAAGTCATGGAAATAAATGTAAACTGTCAAACATCAATGTCTTATATGTATTATAACTCTCCGGGAAGATTAAATCTAGATCACGTTAAAGCCTGTTTATTCGTGGTAAATCCAGCAATTTACCTGCAAAAGGAGCTCACCATTAGCCAGTATTTTCACTTGCGAAACCGGCTAAAACAGTATGTGGGTTAATAGTCGAAAGAGGTAGCATAAAGTAGGCCCTCGAGTTTAGAGCCTGGCTAACATAAGACGGTTCCAAAACAAGTTTCATGATTGTATTTGGAAATTCTCTGCTAAATCCCGTCGCACGCTATGGAAATACCGGTTGTATCAAAGGAAATGCTCCAAATACCTTCCACCGGAAAGAGCACCGCGCAACCATGGCTGCCTAAAGCCTTTATAAGTTCACCCGTGCTCTGCGATCTTAATTCTGCTATTATAACGGGTTTACATTTAAAAGTTGCGACGGTCACACTCTTGTTAGACAGACTACAAGCAAAATTGTGGCTGAGAAACTTCTTCCAGGTTTTTGGAAACGTTAAATAAACGTCTTAATAATTAAAAAAATGGGCACTATAATGACTCGATACTAGGTAGTTTACACCATTTTATTTTCAATTCAGATCTATCTTTTGATTGACTTCGAAAAAGGAGGAGGTTACTCAATTAGATGTTTTTTTTTTTTTTTAAGTGATCATTCTATTTTATTGGACATGGAAAAGATGTTTTTTTGCTAATTTTTTTTCGAAATGATATTGCAAAACGATTTATTTTAAAC